AAACTCCTTTCCCCAGATACCTTTGATTTTGTTTACTTTCTAATGTTATGTTTCAAGTAATATTTTGGTGCAACCTAAAATCATGGTTGAGATTTGATTGGTAATGTGTCGCATCTTTAATTACTTTTAAAACTAGAAAGAATTATCCAATCTTAAGCATACTACTTTAGATGCTCTCATGTGTTTTATACGTGGTAGATTATTGTCATTATTCATAGTCAATTAGACATGGAATGGTAAAAAAAGAAATGATTATATGGAAATGTACCCACCAAATTTATCTTAATTTTGTTGCTATGATTTTCTCTTTTTTTTTTCTTAAATGATCATTGCCTATCAAACTGAAGTAATCTAATATTGTAACTTGCAAGGTACCAAAAATGCCTCTTCTGCAATATATTCCTATCCACATGAGAGCAAACTATTTTGGGATTCTACTTGAATCCTTTGTGTAAAGGCAATTTGGAACTAATGTGTAGACGTTATACAAGGAATTGTTATTTTACTTAATAATTTCTTAAATGATCAATATTTGTTGTAAATTTTTCTTGGTTTATATGTTATAGGTTGCTTTAAATTTTGTAAAATTTGTACAATGGGCACATTTTTGTTGCATATTAGAATGTTACATGTGTTGCTACCCTTTTTAACTACATATTTTGAATGCTACTATACTTTTTTAGGATTGCAACCGTATAGTATATGGTTGCACATTAGTTTTGTTGCAAAAATTCCATAAAAAGTGTAGCTAAACTTTTCTATATATCGACTAAAGTTATACTTAACCATTACTTTAGGTTAAGGCTCCACTTAGAAAAAAAATATTGTAGTGTATTTAATAGAAAGTAAATGCAATAAAAATAAAGAATAAAGGGTAAAGAGAACTGCAAACACAATTTATAGAGGTTTGGCCTTTTCTCTTGACACTTATGTCCTCACCCTTAACTTTCTAGGGAGTTCAATCCACCATTCACTTCAACCAATACAAATACCATTTAAATTAAGGTACAACATTTCTATCTTTTAAAGGCTTAGATACAACCTCTAATACTATCTTTTGAAGACTAAGTCATAACCTCCCTATCTCTCCAAAATTTAAGTTTTTTGACAATCTTTACAAGTAAGAAAACCTCTAATAGGTAAATATTGTTTAGTAATTACAAAGCAATATCGAAAATGATTACAATAGAATATGAATGAAGGCTCAAATGCTCTGAAAAACTGGGAAGAATGTGAAAATTGCTTGCTTTAAACTTGTGTCTTGTTTCTCTTGTTATTTCTCTACAATGATGATCCAAAAATAGTGTATTTACACTTACAAATCTCATTAGAGCCACATAACATTAACTAAGAAAAGAGTCGTTACTTTGTTGAAAATCTACCTTCATTACTGCTAATGGATACCTCGAGATCGATCCCAATATGAAAGGCTCGATCCTGCCTTCATTTGAAAGAATGTGAAAATACTTGCCCTAACCTTATGTCTTGTTTCTTCTCTTATTGTTCTGCAATGATGATCTAAAGAGAGTGTATTTAAACTTGCAAATCCCATTGGAGCCGCATAGCATTAACTAAGGAAAAAGTTGTTATTTTGTTGAAAATCTACCATCCTTAATGGTAATGGATACCTTGGGATTGATCCCAATATGAAGGGCTCGATCTTGCCTTCATTTGTTGTATGAAAATTTGAATTTTGTGAGTGAGGATCGATCCCTAGCAAGTAACAAGGGATCTTGTAGCTTTTGTTTCAAAGGGATCATCCCCTTTACCCTTGGGATTGATCCATGTAGCTTCTCATTTAAAAAAAAAATCTAATTTGAACCATTTCCCTTTCAAAGCAATTTTAACGTTTGAAAATACTTTAAATAATTGACAAAAGTATGAATTTTAATTTAATTACATGATTTAAAATTTTTTGAATATTTCTTAAGCTTATTATTTAAGGGAATTTTTTTAATTTTTGGGAAAGGTAAGCTTTTATTATTATCAAAAAGCAATAAGCTGGAAGGTAGCTTATTTGCTTATTTAAAACATAAAGAAAATAAAAGTAAAAAGAAAGAAACCCCAAGTAGTATAACTAGAAGCTTGTTTAAGGTCACAAATAGACTGTTTAGGTTTGTACGCCAAGTGTTCTTTCCTTGATTCCTAAAACCCTTCACATTGTACCGTGTAAACTTGGTCTCCAATTTTACCATTTAAGAAAGTTGTCTTCATATCCATGGGATGAAGTTCTGGTAAAAATGTGGTACTAAGACTATAATGATTCTAAAAGGATCCTTAAAAGATACTAGTGAAAAGATCCCATTATAATCAACTCCTCTCTCAATAAATCCCTTAGTCATCAATTTAGCCTTAAATTTCTCAATTTGTTAGAATGTGATCATTTCATTTTTGTACATGGAAGTTCGTTCTCATTGTCTTTTGCAAGTATAATGTAGGTTTTTAAGAAAATTTTTGTAACTTCTTTAGTATAAACAATGAGATATTGGCAATTGCAATGGGTCAATCGTCTGGTTTCTTTATCCTCTGTTTTTCTGTTTCTGCAGGCAACTAATAAGACCCGAAAGAGGCCCAGCTAAACTTGTTATTTGAGACTCTAAAACCCAAAAAGAAAAAAGAAAAAGGGAAAGTCGAAAAGGTATTGTCAGGGTTTGAATGTTGGCGAAGGTGACTGGGCTCGTGCTAGACTTTCTTTGGACAATATGATAAACAACTCATATAAATATAATTTTCCTATTATCTTAAAATTTTCTCAATATTATAATAACAAGAAGAAGGATTTATTAACTCCCTATGGCCAGAGAAAATATAGAGACCATAAGAATGTTACCCTGAAAATAATCTTTTGATTTCTTTTCAATGTCTGTGCTTTATGATAACATATAGTCCTGCAAATAACAATTAATATCCTTTAATCCTTACTATTTAAAGGGGAAAATAAATTGAATTCCAAGCATAGGCCTCTTTTTTTTCTTTTGAAAAGCTAAGCTTATGGGCCCCTAGAAACTAATTCGAACCTCACTTATCCCAAAAAAGACAAAAAAACCTAATTCGACGCTCAAATTATAATCTATTAATAGATTTTATATATAGTCATCTGAATATAAATTTGAAAAAGACAATTGCTCAAAAGTTTTAAATGTATGGAAAAATTTTGTAAAACATAATTTTTATTACTATTACACACTACTGACTATGTCGCTGTTCGATGCATGATAAGGTATCCATCCTTTCTAGAAAAAGGAAATCATATTTATCATTATAAGGTGTGGGCATAATAAATGTTGTATGTTTCCTTCACCCATCCATTGGGACATTTAAGATAATGCTGCACTGCCTTCGCTTTTATGGACCAGCAAAGGAAGCTGTGTTATCAGTTCGATGACCGAAATATATATACACTATACAGCTAATTATTTATGCACAGGACCTCTGTCTACGATTGACCATGGTCGATCCACTATAAAAATAAAGAAGCACCAAAGTGTTCCCTTCCATTGCAGCACCACCATAAAGATGTTCCCTCTCATTCTTGCAACTCTTGGAAATTAAATTGCTATCAGACACCAGAGAATAAAATCTTTATAACAACCTACCCACGCAAATGCGTACCCCTTAAGCTACAGCTTTCGACGTGCAATTTTGTTTATTTTTTGGTACAAAGGGAAAAGAAAAAACAAAAAAGGTATGGTTATACTGGAAGGGTTGAGGGCTTAGGGTCATATATAAACATATAGTTCAAAGTATTTGTTAATTAACTCCCTATATACGCACCATTCTTGAACTTGACATGATCGATGAATATGGTCATATTTTTTTAAATTATATTCCTAAAATTTTATTTTTAAATATTTATTTATGATTAATATTAACAATATTTATATAATTTAAAAATATATGACTGAAATTAGAGAAAAAAAAGAAAATATGGCCAAATAAATTCTATCCATAAATTATACTCACTGGAGATATCAATTAGAAGAAGACAAATGCCAAATAGTTATTAATACTTAATAGCAAATTTATGTATAGTACATAACTTATACTACGTACTGAGGCTGCTGTTTTGATAAGAAAAAGGGGAAAAATGATGGCATGCTAAGTTGTGGCCACACTAAATGTGACATGTTCCTTTCCCTTAAAGATGAAGCTCCATCGCTTTTATGAAGCAGGCAATTAAGGAAGCTATATAATATAGTTTGATGATGGAAACTATATATATAGCTATTTAATTATGTTCAGGACCTCTGTCTAGGGTTGACCTTGATCCATTACAAAAGTGTTCCCTTCCATTGCTGCACCATCATAAAGATGTTCCCGCTCATTCTTGCAACATTTCGATATTAAATTCCTAGCAGAAACCAGAGAATAAAATCTTTAAAACAACCCATCCAAGTTTCCCTTTTATCCTCAGTCCTCAGATCCTATCAATGGTTTGGGCTTTTGGAGTTACCTTCACAAATAACAAAAATAGGAAAAGATCAAACATCGAATACTCCTCAGTTAGGCAACTGCAATAAGTTATTGAACATATTCCAATCTTCGTAGACATGTAAATTATCATGCCACAGATGATCAAAATAAGAATGGCTAAGTTGAAAGTTTCACTTAGTCTAAAAGAGCGAAAGAAATGGCTGAGTTGCTGACGACTCTGCTTGTGTGTAAACTAATTATCTTAATTGTTTTTGAATTTGTGAGGGGAATTTCTTCAAATCTGTGAACTCAATATCCCGCGTGCCACAGGTTGCACATAAAACCTGCGACCAGCGGCGGGGTCCCCAATGTCACTGAAGTGGCAGTCAACGATACCAACTCATGATCGTGCCACAGCTTCCGTCATTTCCATTGGCAGTGGCCTTTTAGTTCCCACTCGACCGTACGGTCTCTTCTTTTGCTTCACATTCCCGTAAGTAATTAACAAAAACAAATTAAATGACGAAAGATTGATGAAGTACACTTTCTAGCACAGCCAAGTAAAGATAAGTTTGAGCATCCATTCACTATACAACGAGGCATCAGCTACATTAATTCCATTTGCCATAAGACAAGGTTAGGAGACCTCAAAATCTCCTTTCGAAATCAAAGCTTAACAGACTGACTAATTAAACTAGCTAGCAAATTGTATATAAAATTGGATAGAGATCGTGAAGGCAGTACTCTCCTACATTTTTTTCTGCATGTAATTCCTAGTTAATTATTAATTAGCCATCTACTTCTCTAATATTGTCAGAATAATTAGAGCCACAGAGCTCCGGCCTCCTTGAGAAGTGGCACCAGGGTTCCATTGATGTGGGAAGCCATGACTCGGTCCATGGCTCCTATCAGCTTCCCTCCAATGAAAACAACGGGAACTGCTTGTGAGTTGCCAAGCAGCCTCATCAGTGCCCTTTCCATCTCTTTCCCTCTGGGGTCCTGGTCAAGCTCGTACACCGTTGGGTTCACTCCCATTCCGCAGAAGAGCCTCTTCACAGCGTGGCACATGCAGCAGGTGCTCAAACTGAATATCACCACTGCGCTCTCTGAGGCCAGCTTCACCACCCTCTCCATTGGGTCTGACCCCATGCTCCTCGTTGGCACGTAGTAACCCCAAGAATCACCCTGATAATGCATTCTTCTTCTGCTCCTTCTTCTCCTCTTCCCAAGAAGAACAAACAACAAAATGTTCAAAAGTAACTAAAAGGCCGAAAGCGATGGTGTGGTGGAGTTAGAGAAATTTGTGTTTGGGAAAGTGGCAAGCGAGTGATCGTGGTGTCAAAAGTGCGGATGGGACTGGGTTTTATAAGGGTGGCGTTGCAAGGGTATGAGAGTAAATAAAGTGGGGTTTGTCCGTTGTTGTCGCAGCGCGTGCTTTAAGGGTCTCGTGTATTTGCATTAAAGCATTGCTGTCTGCAGCAAGAGACACATATACTCCTGGGAGAGCTTAGTGGAAGCAAAGGTCTCAGTTGTGGAAGGCGGCTAGGGGTAATTGTCTACTCAGAGTAAACACTCGGTTGCAACTTTTGATCAAATAGTACAATGGTTTACTAGTATTAAACTTTTAGGCGTTTAAGACATGAGTACAGGCTTTTTTCAAGCAAAACCTGAAGGGTTTTTTACATAGACGGCTGTCTCCGTCCTTCTTGTCGGGGGCCTTGAGATTAAACGTTTTTTGTTTGTTTGTGACGTGACCCTTACGAGCATGTTTGGCCCTTTTTTTTTCCCTTCGTTTTAACTCAACAAACGAACATGTTGATGTCTTGACGATGATGTTGATCATGGATGTTTTCTTGGATTTGTTGCTTGACCTCCTAATCCCATGAAAAGGGCAAAGAGCTTTGAGCATTCTACCCATCTAAAGTCTAAAGCATTTGGTCATGGTCAAACGGAATAAAAAAATTACTACACTGTTTGCAATTTGTTTTTTGTTTTTTGTTTTCTTTGCTTGGCTTCTTTTCTGGTGCGGGTGAAATTGCGTGGTTCAATGTAAGATTTGCTGCATAGAAACTAGCAAAACCAAGTCACATGATTTAACTTCCAATGCAACAGAGATAGTATAATAGTAGCAACAATGCTTCTCCCATTCTCGTGTCTTTTCTCAATCGGGGACCAGGACTTTCCCCCGCACTCCATATTTCTTTCCAGGCAAAATACACTAACGTTCTACATGTAAAGCACATTTGATGTTTAAGCCAAAAAGAACTATCATATTCTGTATTACCTTTTTCAATATTCTTGTGTAATGTTTTAATCAACTTTTGGATATCACACCAAAATGTGTGCAAAAGAAGCTTCTTTCGTCCAAATTAGTAGAATTTTAAAGCAGTCACCATCAGCTGCTTTCCAAAATGAGACTTAAACTTGGGGCTAAAAGCCCACAGCTTGGACAAAAACATTGTTCAGATTTTGGCAAAAGGCAACATATAATGGACTCCACACTGGATGGTGGGAATTTGAAGTCTCTCCAGTTAAATTAGTCCAGAAAAGTAATAATGCTGGTAATTGATAACCTACATTGATCTTTAGTTTATCTTTAACTGGGTCCGCAAAACTTTCGTTAGGAAACACAAATCTTGATTGCAAGTTTGGAATGATAGGGAGAAACATTGAAGAAAGGGGTCGGGGGACCATCCCCAGTACGATACAACTTCAGATTTTTTTTTTTTTGTTAACTGTATTGCATTGCGTAGAACAGTAGAATTGCAGATGATGCACAGTAATTCTATAACATGCATTTATATAAGTGTAATAAAACCAGATGCATGGTATAAAAAGAACAGGCAAGGATTTTGCTTTAAAAATTTATACTCTGCTAGCTTGTTCACCTAAAGCAGAGACAAATGGGCAGTTGCTATAGCGAAAAAAGCAAAGTTAAGGCGTGGCCTGCACCCACAGGCCTACTTCGGGCGGCGGGTACGGTTTTGCGCCGAATACCGGCTGAATATCAGGATCTTTTTATGTGGGTCGGGTAGATCCGACCACATACTTAACTTTTTGGCTGCTGCTATTGTCGCTCTAATTTTGTTTTCTCACGGTAATATTTGCAACAACACAGCGTTCAAAACTCTTTCCTCTCTTTCCATTAATTATTTTTTCCTTTATGGTTGACCTTCACGTACGCGTGCTCACCAGAACCGCTGCGCTTCTTTTTAGTAGCAACTATCAGAACTACTTTTCTTTTCGAATTGAAGCTGGTTAATTATCAGAAAGCCAAAATCAGTACAGTAATTTTCTTTGTTCACAAAGAGAAAACCACTATTTTACAGAGCTCAGAGTTGAATGTACAGCTTTAACTTACAACTCGGTCACTGAAAAATCACTGCTTTGTTCGAAATGTTTACTTGGACCAGTGGGATATTGGTAGATAACTTAAAAAAGAGAATCTTGGACTCTTCCAGGGTCCATGGTCTAATTCTTGTTGGAGAAATACACGTGAAAGAAACAGTGAAACGAAGAGGAAGTAAAAAAAGGGGGAGACAAGTAGAGGATGAGAGTAGAATTCTTACTTTGAAAGCACGATTCTTGTATAGAGTTTGGACCTACCCTTTTACCCCTTTTTCCCTAAATCTCCACTGTTTTTGTTTGTTTCTGTATGTAGATATAAGATAATTGTTTCATCCGAAAAGGAGATGTTTATAGGCCCAATTGGTACCCCTTCACTTAAAGTCTAGCCCACATTTTGGGTCAGACCTTGATAAGCCTTTGTGAGCTTCAGCAACATCTACATCTGGTTCATTACGACGATAACATAAATATCATATTTGGCATGATAATATATTTATTTAAAACTTAAGTTTGTGGATGTGTCATACATCCCACATCAAAAGATGAGGTGGGTTTTAGGTTTATAAATTAGAGCCTTCCACCCCCTATGATTGAGCAAACAGTCGGTTGTGATTGCACAATTGATCATAATAGTTGATTTTGATCCTAAACGGACCAGTTATTTAGTTCCGGTTGAGACATCAATTACCTTAATGGGTTTTAGTAGTTGATTAGTTCAATCGTTGAGGGGGAGATCTCCTCCTTGACGTTAATCAAAAAATCGAGGAGAAATTTTTTATATTATTTTTAAAATAGTTAGAAATTGTACTTATAACCCTCATGCCCCACACCCCCGCCCCCACCGCCCACCCAATCTAGCCATCTACCCCGTCAATCAGCTTTCCCCTAAGTCCGAAAGCCCTCCCCTTGTCCTAATGAAGCCATCGCGTTACATTTGAAAACTAAAGCATCCTTGACCTTGTAACACCCCTGACCTTGAAATGGGCCATATGTGTGTGAGGGCTTACATTATATGTTGAAATGGCTAAGCTAACAGATGAGCTTAGTTGAATCTTTGGTGTATATGTTTGATGAGTTTAAAGGTATGCTTATGTCCATAGAGCAATGAATATGAAATATGAATATATGGAGGTTCAAAATGATGTTGCACATATGTTTGGCACATGAATGATAAAGTGCATTGTTGGGCACTTAGGAAGATATGATGTTTAAGCAAAACTATGGTAAGTTTTGATTTGTACAATATGTGACATGGAGCATAGTGAGCATTTGAACTTGTGTGATAAGTTTATGCTTTAATATTGAGCATTTTTGATGAGTTGAGATGAGAAGGATAATTGTGGTACTTAGACCATAAATCTTAAAGTTTGAAAATGTTGAACTATATGGTTTGAAGTTTAAGTGAGATTTTGATATTTGATGATACATTTGGACATTTGTATGAGGATTTCATGTTATATGAATGATTTGTAGTGTGTTGTGAATGGAAATAAATCAAGGAACTAATAGGAAGTGATTTTGAGGTGTTAGACTTAGATTTTTGAAGTTTAAAAAGCTGAAAATCTACCTACAAAGGAAAATATATCAATATATTCTCCATTGTATCGATACATTCTTGGTAGGATGAACATCTATTGATACATTGTCCAAACGTATCAATGGATTTAAAGCTGAGACCAACCAAGGGAAAAAGCATCAATAGATTTCCCCAATCTATCAACACATTTAAGGTAGAGAGCAATTTGAATGACATGTATCAATACATGGTCTCATGTATCGATATAGTTAAAGGGGTTTCATTAAGAATGTATCGATACATCTTTGGGCAAAGGCAAAAATAAAAATTCTATAAAAGAAATTCGATAACTTGACTATAAATGGTGCCATTGTCGACTATGGCTATGTTTAAAAACATGGTTTGACTTTTTAAAACATGGAAGTAGTCGACCATCTCATGAGTATAGTTGACTATGTCTTTCTTGATACACATTTCTAAGCATTTTAAACTTAAATCTAGTCCACTCATTTACAATGGTAGTCAACTGCATCTTTTAAATTTGTCTTGAAAATTTTATTTTGGCTTTCAAAACATACTTAAATGAACTTTGGTTTTGTGAGAAGGCTTGGAAACTATTTTAAGGAGACATGTGCATTAGTTCAAGAGTTTATTTCAAAAATAAAAAACAATATTCTTGAACTTGTGAAAGTGCATATATAAAATGAAGGATTTAGTGTTGGATGACTTATGTGCAAGTGTATGCATGTATGATATGAACAATGTGTGATGCAACATGCCACAATTAAATGTACAATAATATATTTACATAATCAACCAAACAATGAAATCAACAAATACACATATATTCACATAAATGCATACAAATATATTCACATAAATGTTTAATAAAATGATCAACAAACTATTCTAATCTCAAATATCAAAATTATTATAACTATAGTGAGGAGGATATAATGAATCTATGTTTCAATCATTCAAGAAAAAATTATTCGTATCATTAAGCACAAGATTAATATGCTATTTAAGAGACATTACCAATAATGTAGAACACCATTTGTTGATATCTCACCAAGCTCATTTGTTAAAGATTTCAAGTGCTCAATCATCATAAGACAATGTCAATAGTAAACTCCCCTTTAATCATTCATTACATTGCTTCCAACAAAGAAACGGAGTTAAGTGGTTAATCACATTAAAGTATAATCTTACCTTTCCTTAGATGGATCATGTGACAAACATGGGGATATATAATGATCATATGATGGATGAGTATTTAAATAGAATATTCAACATGTCTATCTTATACTCATATATTCAAGGAAGTAATAAAACATGAGTATTTTAAATAAATATTCAAGATATGCTTAAAATACTCATAATTTCAAAAGTATATGCACATGGTTCCAATGTATGTCCAAGATATCATTGAGAATTAATTATCAGTTTCTTCATATAATGTCTAAACACTATCAATCAATCATTTGCAATATTTTTCTAATGATAATTCAACGGATAATTTCTTCTACAAGAGTATGTCATCATTAGGTACCCTTAGCAAGTATCTTTCTTAGTTTCATAAGACATGTGTTAAACTAAATGTGTAAGAATTGATAATCAATATTGTGCATGCCATACCTCAATGATCTTCATGATAAATGAATGGTTTGCTTTACCTCTTACTTATGCTATTGACTTAGATCATGTATGCTCCTCCTATAAAAGGAAAACTTAAACATTTGTTTTTGGAACCTAAATTTTCTTAGGTCTTTTACAATTAATAACCTTGGTTCCTTTGTGAACCTTATCAACTTTTATCACCTTTCCTTGTGGAAGTTTGGTCCCTTGGGAACCCATACATATCTACTTACTTTATCTCTTTGTGTAATAATTCTATAAAAGTAAGATAAAGTAAAATGTCCAAATTTGAGACATGAAGTGCATATAGAGAAAACATCATATATATTTTTCATTTTCTTTAACAAAGATATTCTTATGATGAGTTTCTTTTTGTGTCAAGTCATAGCCTAGCCCTTCTTTATTACAGAATGCTCTTTGGAATACCAACATGTCATGCAATTTTTGTTGGCTGTTTTGAAACTTAAAGAATGTGTCATGCAAACTATCATCTTTCTTCTTCAACAAGTCAAATTCATTTTGCATGCCTTTCATATTGTTTTCTAGCTCAATCCTTACCTTAACTAGGTTTTCATTATCAACTTTAAGTTTTTTTATGATACCCTTGTATTTTAAAACTTTCTCTTCAAATTCAAATATAAGATCATCATAAGCATCTTGTAACTCATTAAATATATAATCATTTTCGTCATAAGTGTATGAATCAAGATTATGAGGGATAGGATATACCTTGTAGTCATCATGTGCCATGAAGCAAAAGTTGGTAATTTCATCACGTTTTTCATCCTGTGAGTTATCACTATCACTCCAAGTCGCCATCATTGCTTTTTTTCTTAGTGTTTCTTTTAGTTAAGCACTCATATTTGATGTGACCAGGCTTTTAGCAATCATAGCATATCAAGTGATCTATTATATGCTCTTCCTTAGGCACATCCCTCCTTGTAGGCTTTTTAGTTTTAAGTTCTTCCCAATGAGCCTATTGAATTTTCTAGCTAGCATGGCCACATCTTTTTCATCTTCACTTTCACTCTTCGAGCTTCTCTCTTCATCCTCAACAATAGTTTTAAAGCCTACATCCTTTTTCCCAGTGTCATCCTTTTTAGACTCTTCTAACTCACTCTCATAATTCAAAGACATTTCATATGTGAGTAAAAATTCTACTAGTTCTTCTAGCTTAAAGTCATTGAGGTTTCTAGCTTCTTCTATAGCTGTCACTTTAGGTCTCCAAGATTTAGGTAGGCTATAAAGAATTTTCTTTCTAATTAAGCATTAGGAAGTTCTTTTCCTAGAGTTTTTAAACCTCCAACAATATTTGCGAATCTCTTGAACATCTCATTAATGAACTCACCTTCTTTCATTCTAAAGAGCTCATAATCATAAGTAAGCAATCCGATTTTGGATTCCTTGACTTGATTAGTTCTTTCATAAGTAGTCTCTGAGGTATCCCAAATTTGTTTTGCATTTTCACACATTGATATTTTATTAAACTCACTAGCTCCTAAAGCACGAATAAGAGTATTATAAGCCTTACAATTTATTTGAATTAGTTTCTTCTTATTCTTTCCTAGTCTGAATCATTACTTTACTATCTACCTCCTTATATGGAACATGTGGACCATCTAGTATAAAATTCCAAACATCTAAGTCCATGGATTGTATAAATATTTTCATATGTTTCTTCCAATTAAGATAGTTATTACCTACAAAAATAGGTGACCTTTGGATCAATTGCCTTTCACCAAGCACGGTTGTCGTCACCTCCATTTTTGTCAATTTGAGCTTTTACAATGGATCTATTGAAAGCAATTAGACCCACAAAATTTGAGACCTAGCTCTAATACCAATTATAAGTGTAGAAGTGTCAACAAACAATCTATCAAGAAGAGGAGAATTGATATATTAAAAATTTCTTGAAAATCTAATCACAAAATTAAGAACTTTTTCACCCAAATGTGTTTTCTAGCATCAAAATCAAGTTCCCAACAATAAATCATTGAACATAAAAATAATCTATCAAGTAAAATATTTTTCGTAAGTTTAATTGCTAGTTATAAAGATAAAGGGAAAAATATTTTCTAAGAATGAAACAATAAATCAATATAAAATTATTTTCATAAGACAAATATAGGCAATGAATAATAATGTAGAAAATTAAAAATAAACACAGAATTTATAGTGATTTAGCACTTTCAATGCATACATCCACTCTTTTAGTAATCAAGGAATTTCAATCCACTATTAAGGATTCTTGCTTTCTAACAAGATAAAGTGATAACCCTCACCCAATCCACAAAGGGATTTTTGCTTTTTAATGGAATCAAGCGATAACCTTTACAATGGCTTTTCACAAGATCAAGTGATAACCCTTACACAATCCACAAAGGAATTTTTACTTTTTAATGAGATCAAGTGATAACTCACAAATACCTTTTCAAGGTTAAGATAAAACATTTACAATATATGTGTACAAAGAAGTGATAGTAAAGATTTGCCTCACAAAAGATAGATTCTAAAAATTTTAGCTTGGGTTTAGTAAGAGAAGAAATATCAACTCAAATGAAGCAAGTATTCAACTTTGTAAGCTCGATGAAAGACTAAAAAGATGCTACAGAGTAAAGATAAGCTTTTGAAGGTCTCTCTAGGGTTTGAAGCTTTGATTGTAGTCTTCTCCTGCTTCAAAATGGCTTAAATATGATTATTTAAAGCAAGGGCAAAGTTTAGAGCCATTAGACATAAATTTAAATCAAATATGATCATTGCTAAAGCTTTAAAGGTCAACTATAACACTTTTAAAGTCAAATATGTTCCTTAAATTTTTCAAATTCAGGATTTATAGTTCAATATAATCTTCATCTACTTGATCTTTTTCCCTAGAGTGTGTTTTTTGCAAATAGAGCTACTATAGTCGACTATGTCTCCTCTATAGTCAACTATGTCCATGTGAAGTTGACTTTTTCTTACTTTTAACTTGTCAAGGTCGACTATATCTGTTTGAAACTTGATTTTCTTGAGCTTTTTGGAATATGATTGACTATGGACACTTCAAGGTCGACTATGGCTTCGTAATCTTCAAGTTTTGCACATTTTAGTCTTTGGATCAACTCGAGCTTCCTTAATATCGACTCTTAACTTATGTCTTGAGGTTTTCTTAACTTTTAGCTCTTTTCTCCAACTATTTCTTCCTTGCCTTGCTCCTATATTGAAATAATATTTCAAGGCATATTTACTAAGAGCTTACAAGGTGTTTTCTATTGATGCATGGCTTTTCAAACAAATATGTAACCTTAGGAGATTAAAAATGTATTTCAAACAATTTCAAATGCTTGACATTAAGTTCAAGATAACATGTGTTTTTTGTCAAATCAAAATATGATGTAACTCAAGATTAACACCCAAGACAAAGCGACAGTCTGAAGTAAAAGCTCTATAGGGAGGGTAAGAAACCTTAGGCAACAAACTAAAATAGAAAAGAGAATTAAAGAATAGCAAACCTCAAAAAACCCTAGGTGGCACGTTGAAGCAAAGGCTCTAAAGAAGAGTAAGGAACCCTAGGCAATAGAGCAAAGAAAGACGATAAGACAATGGAAGAATAGTTATAGAATAGCAAAGCAAAAAAAAAAAAGGAAGAAGAAGAATGAAACCATAAAAAAACTAACGGTGAGCAATTGAGTGATTCAGCCAGCTCAATCCACCATACTTGAAGATTAAATAAACCAAATATTTTTAGAAAATCAATCACAATTGACCAAATAAAAAGAAGATTGAACCAACTGAACCGCCTAATTGGTTCAATCAGTTAGGTCTTGGACTAACAAAATCAAAATTTTACTTTTTTTTTACAAATTATAATATTAAAATTTATAAACGTTATCTATAATTATAAAATATGGAATGAAAATTAATATTGAAAATATATGTTTTATATAAATTTAAAAATAATATTTATAAATATTTATAAATATATATATAATATTAATTTGATCTTTTGGTCGATTCAATCTAAAATTTTAAAACTGAGAACCAACCAAATAAACAAATTGGACAAATAGACCAAATGGATTAATTGGATCGAACCGTTTTATCCAAATTGCATTCGGTTCAATTGGATCATTGGTCCGATCAAATTTTATTCACCCCTGACAAAAACATCCTCAACAATTGAAAGCAAAACCCAAAAATACCCTTGATATCTAAAAAATTGTCACGGACAACATAATTTAGAGAATATATCAAGAATATCCTTGACATCTCAAAAAATGACATAGACACGTACCAACTTTCTGAAGAGCTTAAAATTAAAATACTTTAGATAACAACTTGTGTTGCAAAATTTCTTGCTAGCTGTAATATTTTAGACACCAGGTAGTAAATAATGCTCCAAATATAGTTGCAAAAGTTGTTGTAAAATTTCAAGCTTATGTTCAGATTTTTTAAAAGTAGTTTACAGCAAATGCGTCGTGTATATGAGACAACAACGAAGTAGACATGAATTAAACGAAGCAGCAGGGACCGGCCATGATCTTCTTCATCTTCCCAAGCAAATATATATATGCTCGTTTTCAGTGACTTAAACTAATTATGTTCTCCTCCTCCCCATTGATGTCGAATTTCCATCAAATAATTGATCAATCAACCCCTCAATGTCTTCTGGCTGATACTTTATGTATTTCTCTGCTTGTCTACCGTAATCAACATATGACTTGAATCTCCCCAGAAAGGACCTGTATGCTGGAATCACCACGGCCGATATCGAAACTATAAGCTCCGATTGAAGCTGCTCGTCGCTCACCACCCAAGTGCTTTGCGTTTTGTGGATTTCATCAAACAAAGTGTTGAAGTTCTTGAACCTTTCTTTCAATATAGTCTTTGACACTTTCCCATTCACTTGCAAACCCTCATGGTTTATGCACTGTAGAACCTTGCTCCATGTTTCTCTTTGATAGTTCTTATGGTACTGCCTTAAGCCCGTAGTTCGTTTCCGCGACCAAGAATTACCCATCATTTCACAGATCTCCGCGGACCCTTTGACCTTCTGCAAAATATACCTCCCATTATTCATCAAGAAAACGTAACGCAATGCTGGGTCCCTATACAGCTTCGATTTCATGTCAATGTTGGCATCTAACAAATCCATGACCATCATTAACTTTACTGAAAAGGGGGAGGTTTTGGGGCTTCCGTCATCTTTGATGGCATTCTCGGACTCCTGCTCCTCAAATTTCTGCCTGGTAGATTCCTCCATCTTGTAGTGCTGTTGGAATACTTGCTCCAACGTGTCTTTGTACTCACAAGCGTATTTTAGATAATTCATTGTATAGCGAGTCAAGGGGTGAACTGCACCACTGGCCACAGGGATTCTCCCATTATCACTCTTGATTGAATTCTCAAGCTGACAGAAAATGCTCACCACGGCTTCACCCACCCTGCATTGTGTCACAGATGTCTCGAATATCAAATCCGGGGCCCATGAGTCATCACCAAAATGCCGAACCAAATCATGCAATGTCTCATAAATATCTAAAAACTTGAATAGTTTCTCCGAAGAATATCGTTTGGTCAACACCACAGCATTTGCAAAATTAAGAAGCCTTACGGTCACGAACGTTGCGTGATTCCCGAACAATCTCTGAGCGATCAAAGGATGTTCTGAAAATACCGAGTTGCAAAGCTTGCGTTCAGCGGAAAAGAGATTCGTGGAGCAATGCTTGACAATTTGAATCCAATTAGCGATCTCTCCTTCAAGTGAGTCCCAATGCATCCTTTGAACATCGTCCACATTGATATTCTCGAACCCTTGCTTGTTCAACTCGACATCCAGTGCTTTTAGCCTCAGACCACTGTAAGAAATGCAACATTCTGCCTCGTACCCTGCAGAGATCATTGCGGTGGCTATTTGGTTCATGTTGGAGATTGATTCCGGTGAAAAAGATGGAAATTCGTCCTCCTTTTTGGGGTCGGATTCGGGTCGGATGCATCGATCCAACTCGTGATTGGAGTTGAAGAAAGATTGCTTGGGAGTCTTTGGAGTTTTTGGATCTCTATTTATGTTGCAGATTCGTTTAGAATTGTCCAGGAGAGCACGTAACTCGTAGTCCAATAACAACATGGCTCGATGGTGAACAGAGCCTGCTTGATTATAGCAAGAAGTTGCACCTGAATCAAACGGGAATTCATCAAGAATTTTTACGATCCTCGAAACGCGGCTTATAGCTGCAAAAAATGAGGAATCTTCCTCCTGGTTGTGGCCAAACTTTGCTGATGCTTCCCTCTGTTCATATCCTGCAATCCTGGACTCGAACTTCTTCAGCAATGGCTCGATAGAATTCGGAATTTCTGGGGCTTTGCATTCACCTCCATCGGAATCTAACTTTTCAATGAATTGATCAACCTCTTCCAGGATCTGATCATGCTTCAAATCGGGTTCCAAGGATAACTCAGCGGGATTTTGATTCTCATCACATTCCTTTGGCTCCGGACCATCTAATTTAAAACTAACGGACTCTGATATACTATGGCTCCTTCTTTTGCCAATTCCAGAGAAGCTACCAGACTTTTCACAGTTCCGGTTCTTCTCCATGATAAGGTCTAATTAGCCCTGCCAACCAAAACAAACATTATTATTTTCTTCTTTTTTTGTTTTATCTTTCTTGCTTTTGTGAAGAAAAGATAGGCTTAGACGACTGAGAAAAATCATAACGGAAATAGCGGGAATTGATGCTCCGTGTTTCTTGTCATTTGTTTAGTTTCTTTTAATTTTTACTTCTCTAAATTGTTTGGAGGGAATCGATAAGAGAGGGTATGTGCTGCTTTGTCCTAGTTATGGCCGTTGGTTTTTGGGAAGTTGCAGTTCACCGTTGACCGTTGACCTGCTGAGAAGTTGGGTGTGTGTGCTCTCCACGTCGTTTCCCCTCCTCCCACTGCGGAATAATGCATTTCCTCTACCAACCCTCTGGTTTTTCTGATGCACGTTGTTCATGGGGGTAGGGAAATGCGCGAGAATCTGAGGCCCAAGAAGTAAATGATAGGAAGCAAAGATACTGATTATGGAGTAGACATATCCATGGAAATTAATTAAAGTAAGAAGTTCTTGATATTGGTCTAACGTGAAAGTAGGATTGGGCTCATGGACGTGAGAAGATACTATAGCCACTTGAGGTCGAATAAAAAATATATGGTATTTGTGTTACCACATTATTTGCTTCCAAGTTTCTTGCAATGTCCAAACTCGTAGAGATCACAAATCACAATGATAGAAAGGTTTTCTGCGATTGGAAATGTTTGAAGAGGCAGCAAGTTAAAAGTATTCATTGTAGCTTGATCAATGGTGGATAAAAATGCAGGTTGGCATGAGCCATAGAGGGAAGGGGATCCATCAAAAGAATTTGACCTCGAAGCAAGTAGTTATTCAAACCCATAAAAAAAATTACATCAAACGAGTAACCTCCTGTAATTCAAGAAATTTTTTAAGTGCACCATAAGCACAAGGTGGAAGAGAGGACTAGGAGACCAACTCATCCCCATAAATCCTTATTTGAGAAAACTGACCACAAAATCAAGTTAAATCTTATGTTCAGAACACATGTATATAACACACTTACAGCAATATTTTTGGGAAACCATGTAAAATAACCTAGATGTGACTATACTGTTACATTGCTTCCATTGAAATAAATCTTTAAAATTCTCATGGGGTTTAGAGATGCTTACATCTACAAATCCAAGTTTGTTTTTGGTGTCAAGAGTTGTGCAGAGAGCACAGTTTCAAAGTGGATTGTTGTCACCAACCAAAAGGTTGGGGAACGAGAACAGAGCCAGGACTATCCAAGCAATAAAGAAAATATGGAGAGGAAAAACCATAATTTGATTTGGTTGCAGCAAGAGTTGTAAAGATAAGATTTGCACAAGAACCGGTAGATGACGAATCTTTGTGCAGTGGAAAAAATACAAGTTCTAAGTTACGTTTGATTAGTAGAATAGAATAGCTATTTTGTAAAAATAAAATAAAATAGTAATTGCATAACTAGTTACAGAATAAAATAGTTAAAAATGGTTATTATGCTTATTGTAATATTTGATAGATAAAAATAACTTTGGAATAAAAAAGAAATAGAGTATAAAAAGATAAAAATACTTTTTATTATATATATATATATATATGAGATTAATTATTTTTGTTTTATATTATTTTTAAGTATTAATTTTTTATAATTTAAATATTCATAATTTTTTTAAATATTAATATTTTAATTACAATTTAATAATTAATATTTTAAAATATTAATATTTAATTTATAATTTAAATGTTATTATAATTATTTATTTTATTTTATTTTATTTTAGTTTTTAAATATTAATAATTGATCATTTAAATATTAATATTTTATTTATAATTGAAATGATATTATGATTAAAATATTAATAATTCTAATCCATTTTTAAATTTAAAATATATTTTTATAATATATAATTAAAATTTTAAACTTCTCTTCTTTTTATAATACTATTAATATTTTATTTATAATTTAATCATTAACATTTTAAAATACTAACTTTTTTTATAATTTAATCATTAATGTTTTAAAATATTAATGTTTTATTTATAATTGAAATGCTATTATGATTAAAATATAAATAATTTATATTAATTTTTAAAATTAAAATGTTATTGTTTATGGTATATAATTAAAATTTTAAACTTTGTTCTTGCTTCTAATAATATTAATAATTGTTAATTTAAATATTAATATTTTATTTACAATTTAATAATTAATATTTTAAAATATTAATATTTTATTTATAATTTAAATGTTATTATGATTTAAATATTAATAATTTTAATTAAGTTTTAAATTTAAAATATTATTTTTATAATATATAATATGTAATTCTTCAAACTTATAAAGAACATTTTGATCTTTATCAGTTTTTAAGACTATTCCTTAACCAAGGAATAGAAGAGTGTTGGTACTAGCTATTCTTTACTCTTAACTTATTTTGGAGAATAGCCATTCTAACCATTCTAGAGGAATGGTTATTCCTTGGAGTTTGTGGAAACAAAACAAAAGAACATTTGTTCCTTAAGAATAGAGGGGGAAATGACTAACCAAAGAAGCTACTAGGGTTATATATTAGGTTGATACCATGTTAAGAAAATAAAATTGGGACTAAATTCTTTTATTTTTGTATTTATAACAAATGAGGTATATATATACAAAAGTGCTTGATTAAATACGTACAGAAACTATATTACAATAAATATAAAAATATATTAAAATCTAAAAAAGTGAAAACTGTTATGAATATTTTGTGAATATCCATTCATATTATCTATATCTAGATTTGATATAAATCAGATTAGATTATGATATAATCTATCTAATTTCTAAGTGTTATCCTCATCTTGTAAAGGGGTTGTTTGCCTATATATAGACCCCATTTAGTTCATTTGTATATACACTTCAATAAGATTTCTTCTCTCCCTTAAATACTTTCTTTCTTCTCTTTAAGTATTCTTTCAAGTTATTTTTATTTGTTCTTATAAAGTTATTTTTTTCATAACACGTTATCAGCACGATCCTCTAATCTCTCACCCTCAAGCTTCACAAAGTCAACGATCCTATAATCTCTAGCCTTCACCCTCAAGCTTCACAAATTCGACGATCCTATAATCTCTCATCTTCACCCTCAAGCTTCATAAAGTCGACGATCTTATAATCTCTCACCCTTAAGGTTCACAAAGTCGAAGTTCAATTTTTCCTCAAGTAATTTTTTTATTGTCATTTTATTGTTTTACCCAAATTTTATCAATTTCTAATAAATCAATTTTCATTTAGTGTTTTTCATTAACCAATTAATTATTTTGCTTGTCAATTACGATATTGTGTAATACTAACATTTACGTTCTTCTTTTAAGCTATCACAATGTCAAATCTTACAAAGCTTGAATTTGTGGCTCTTGATATTACTGGCAAGAATTATCTATCTTGGATTCTAGATGCTGAAATCCATTTAGATGCTATAGGTCTTGGTGACACAATCAAAGAAAAAAATAAAGCATCCAATCATGATAAGGCAAAAGTAATGATTTTCCTTCGCCACCATCTTCATGAAGGATTAAAAATTGAGTATCTCACAATAAAAGATCCTGTCGATCTTTGAAAAAGTCTAAAGGAAAGATATAACCACCAGAAAATAGTAATCCTGCCAAAAGCTCGTTATGATTGGATGCATCTGCAATTGCAAGATTTTAGAACTGTAAGTGAGTATAACTCAGCATTATATAGAATTAGTTCCAAACTAAAATTGTGTGAAGAAAATATGACTGATGATGATTTGTTAGAAAAAGCATTCTCTACTTTTCATGCCTCAAATGTGCTCCTACAGCAGCAATATCGTGAAAAAGGCTTTAAGAAATACTCCGAACTTATTTCATGTCTCCTTATGGCTAAGGAAAATAATGAACTATTGATGAAAAATCATAAATCTCGCCCAACTGGTTCTGCTCTATTCCCTGAAGTGAATGCGACATCATTTAAAAATTCTGGTCGTGGTCGTGGTCGTGGTCGTAATCATGGACGTGGAAAAGATCGTCATAATTTTCGCAATCGTGGTAATTACACAAATTATTATTTTGATAATAAGAATACCCACTAGAAGTGGATGAATAGTGAAGAGATACAAGAAAATGACAAAAGTGAACAAAGTAAAAAGAATATAGAAAATGTTTGTTATCGATGTAGTATGAAAGGCCGTTGGTCACGTACCTGTCGTACACCAAAACATCTTGTTGAACTTTATCAAGCATCACTAAAAGATAAAGGAAAAAACATCGAAACAAATTTTCTTGAAGATGATAGCCAAGTTGATATAACACACTTGGATGTTGCTGATTTTTTTGCCCACCTTGAAGGACGGATTGATCATTTGATTGGTGATGGGAATC